CGATACTCTTGTCCCTACTATTGAGCGCCTCTCATAACTGGAATCAAAGTGTGTGTCTACCTTAGACTCCAGCGATACCCTTGTCTCACAGCGCATTCTCTGCCTCTCCCCAGACATCCTGCACTTGCCCACCTCCATGCTTCCGCTCTCGCTGTTGCTGTAGAGGTGAGATGAGCTCACTTCTCTCTCTCTCTCTAGAACTCTTGTCCTATAGAGCAATCAGTCGCTGTCACCATCTGCTCCCTACCACCACCTTCTTTGCCCTCACAGAGATTCTGCTGCGTTTACAGGCAGCCGAGTGTATATGCTCATGCTTAGAAACACAAGATCCCGGCTTGGCTCCTGGCTGTGGTACTTCCTAGCTGTGAGCTGAAACATGCCAGAAACATATGACTGAATTTCTTTTTCATGACATGGGTGTAATTAACTGATCACCTGTGTCATAGTGTTTCTGGGACTTGGGCTTTGGCCTGTGCTTCTTCCTCAGCCCTCGCCCTTTCCCCTTTCATATGGAGCTGCTTCAGGGCACAGAGAGTATTTCATTTCCTGGGTCTGTGGATGGATGGAATTGCTGCCAGGACTCCTTTAAAGGACAGAGCAATTCTATACATCCTAATTGAGCACATCCAGCTAGGGCATTGTTAACTGAAGGTTCCACTTTAGTGTGCTAGGCTGGCCTGGAAGGAGTTTTCTATTGTGGGATTCTCAGCACACACAGGGATGGATCTGGTGGGATACTGCTTCTTGAGAGATAGGGAAGAGTCTAGCGCTGCTCTGCCTATCTGGAGTCTCAGCCAATCGAGAGTCTCAGCCAGTAGAGAGTCTTAGCCCAGTTGGGAGTCTCAGTCTATTGGAAGCTCATAGTGCTAGCTGTCCCTCATGGCAGAGTCGGGGTCTTGCTTGGGCATGACCTGGCTTCTTTCCTGTAAGAGTTGCAGAGTTAGAAGGAAGGAGTAGTGGAGCTAAGGCTAAGAGTCCACTCAGAAGCCATCTTCTCTGGGAAAATCCCTTCCATGTTCATATCTTGTTGTTATGGAAGGTTGACTATGGAAAGGAATCTTTATTAAAATGATAGTTCAGTTGTTTAGCTTTTTCTTGTATCAGTCCCTCAAATGCAGCACCTACCATGAGTCTACAATTCAAGTCCTTTAGGCCAGGATACCAAGTCCTCCATGTTCTGTCTGTAACATCTGTCTCCAGCTTTAGCTACGTGCTGCTGTTCTTACTAGGGTCTCTGAGAATAGCCTGACTTTATCCTCAAGGCCCGTGCAACTTGGTCCCCTGTGCCCATTGTCTTCCTTTATAGTCAGAAGCCCTCTTGGGTTTTCAGGCTTCCTTGCAAAGCCGCCACCTCAGCAGAACATGGCACAGACTTGCTTTTACGGTCTTTTCACCCAGTCTTGCATGTTCAAGCATTCAGGGAATCTAGACACGTGTCGGCACCTGAGCCTGCTAGGTCCACACTGCTTCATCAAAGCCCGACTACTGGTAAGTATCTGTTTTCTGGGCACTGACTGCAAGGAATATGCCATCATGTCAACTAACAGCTGTCCCAGGAGGCTCAGAAGTCGATACCAGGCTTACTCAGGATTTGTTTGATCAAGAACGCAGCCGTTTGAAATCTGTTTTAGAATTGATCTGATGCTATGTCATGGCCGTCCTTTCTCAGGCCTGTTCTGGACTCCTATAGGTGTATCTGATTCATGCCAGGCCTCTGAGCTTTTTACTTAAGAACTTCACAGCAAAGTAGGATAGACAACAGATTTGCAGGTTTCTTACATGAATGCTAAAAAAAAAAAAAAGGCAGCCATTATTTTTATACCAAAGCAATTCAAAGTGTGAAAATGGCAGTTTTTTTTAAAAAGGTATATTTCTGCCCTGAGAAGAAGAATAAATGTCAATATTCTATTTGTGACTATAATTAATAAAACCCTTGTCACAGAGTTTGGTTTTTGAAGAGTCTGGTTTAAGATTGCTGCTATAATCCCCCAAACCTTTGATGTGCACTCCAGTGCTCAGGCTCCTCTGTGAGGTAGCAGCTCTTCCTCAGTGTTGATAGAGTTTAAAGAAGATTTTTGGATGTGAAGCTGATTAATGTGCGATCAAAAATTAGGTTTGGAAATATTTTTGAAAGTAGCGTTTTTTTTTTTTAAAGCAGCTTGCGTTAGAAGGAAAAAATATGTAAAGCATTCATGTATTGTGTTTTTGAAAATAATAACATAAATAAATTTACTTTGGAGGACCATCACATTATCTTAGAGAACATAAATGATTTATATTAAGTTTTTAATCCAAATAATTTGTCTGTAGGTCCATAGCCGTTGAGAAGTGATAGAGACCTCAGTGCGCATGTGTGCCTCTGTAGTGCCTCTGCTGAGTGCAGAACTCAGGGAAGTGGTTGTCCACACCCCGAAGGACAGGTAGTGTAGGCCCTGTTTTGCTGACAGGGAACTTGAGCTCAGAGAGGTTCACATCATTTCCATAAGCCCCGGATTTGAAACTGTGCTACTGACGGCTTTTAGAAACCCTTCTATTTACCCACGTGCCCTGGCTTTCTTTATTCTCTCTGTCCCCTTTCACCATGGCGGCGGCTAGTTTAGGGCCAGATCAAGCAGTGGCAATCTGCAGTTGCGACCCCTTTGATAGTGGGGAGTCCAGATGAGTTTCTTGGCATTCGCTGCCAAGAATGTGCCTTCTCCCTGCTTCTTCGCACCCACTCCAGCCTTTGTTTGTGTCTCTTCCTCCCTTTTGGGGAGACATTTTTCATTTCCACTTCAGAAGCCAGGAGGTTATGTGAAGAGGGTTCCATAGTTTCATTTAAAACATCTAAGTGACGGACAATGAGGAATACTGAGAACTCAAGAACAATCGCAGTGGGTTTTTGATCCTACTGCACGTACTGGCTTTGGGGGAGCTTAGGCAGTTTGGATGCTCACCTTACTAGACCTGGATAGAGGTGGGCGGTCCTTGGGCTTCCCACAGGTCAGGGAACCCTGATTGCTCTTTGAGCAGTTGAGGGAGGGGGGCTTGATCGGGGGAGGGGGAGGGAAATGGGAGGCGGTGGCGGGGAGGAGGCAGAAATCCTTAATAAATAAATAAATTAAAAAAAAAACAAAAAAAACCATCTAAGTGACAAATCACATTCACTAGTGTTTCTCACCATCTTCTGGAACCTGCAGACTCTGTGTGAAAAAGATGTCCATTGGCTAGAAATTGGGAGCTGTCTTCCTTGACTAAGTCACTCTCCAGGGAGAAGGTTTCAGACCGGCCCCTCCCTTCACTTCCAGGTCCTTAGCCTACTCACCTGGTAAGAGTGCCGGCCCTGTTGGTGATTTCTAAGGTTCTAAAATTCTACATTTTTTTTCAAAGTCTCCAAGCTATGAGTTTCTGCTGAGCTGCACATTCCTGCAGCTGTTTCTCTGACACTTTTCAATCTTTACATTTAATCTCTTCAACAATGTATAATTTTTTAAAGGGAAGCTCTTATAGACACTTCTGAAATATAAGGGTGGAGGGAATAAAAGGATGTTAAAAAATAGAAAACAACCAATTAAACAGTATATAGCATATAATTCTCCTTGGAAACTTACTGCGAGATTGAGGAGCACTTTAACAACTGGTAATTTAAATTGCGTTTGAACTCTACTAATGGTTTGTTTGCATGGGAACCTCAATCATTTCACAGCAGTTCTTTAGCAAAGCGGCTTGTTCTCTTTACGGCAATGGAGAAGAAAATTATTAGAAGAGAAGTTGACTCTGGGAAAGGGCGGCCACTTACACTGGCACACAGGAGGAAGCTGGAGAGTGGATGTGACTCCCCCGGGGCCAAGGCTAGAGGACTGTGTCTTTTATTGAGGCTTAGAAATCTAGGGAGTCAGAAGCCCTTTGCCTCTCATAGAAACTGTTTTGGGTTTCCCTCCCTCACCCCTTGCTCTCCATAAGGAGCTTTGATTTTATGAGGTTTTGGGTTGGAGGTATTTTTTTTTTTCTATCAGATTTCACTGTCCATAGTGGTAGAGTTGGCCTCTTACTGATCAGTTTCTCAGCAATTTTGAAGTCCTGTCTCTGGTAAAGATGATTTTCGAGATTTCTGGTATTCTGAAGACCTCAAATTCTCAGGAATGAATGGCTTTAGAGGGCTCGTCTTGAGTGAATTCCATTTTCCTTATGGAATTTCTTTCTGTTGTTGAGGTATACTTGAGTGTGTAAGAACTAAGGCAGGTTCCTGGCCTCATTAGTCTCTGTTAAAGATGGGCAGTAACTATATGTAGTGGACTGAGCCCCAAATCCTCTGTTACTAGTGATGGCCATTTCCCTGTCCTGGTGCCTGGCTCTCTTGTGGTGGAAGAATTGGGGAAGTCACTTTGAGGTCCCCCCGCCCCCCGCCACTCTAAGCTTATACACAGATCGGAAGACTGATATCAGGGACATGGAGCAATTATATGATTGTTTAGAAGATGCTCAAAGATTCTATGAGAATGAGGGTGGAATTTCCTGATGAGTTTCAGTTCCATGAACCTTGGACAAGCGTTGCAATAGTCCACAGTTCTGGAATATACATTTTATAATCCCAAGAAAAGAGCCATATTTCTCAATGAGATGAGTCTGCAATGAGGATTTACCAAGGAATATTAAGACTTCACAGCTCTCTATGGCTCCCTTGTTCTCATATTACAGGGAAGGAAACTGAAATTCAGAGGGCCACTATGTCTTTTTTTTTTTTTCCCTCCTTAATTGCTCTGTCTTGGACTTGTGTTGTTTAGATGGGCCTGTTTTCCAGGAGTGCTGGAGACGAAGAGTGGGAGCATTCTCTTCCCACTTCCTTTGAGACAAACCTGCCAAACAAGAGTGCCTGGTACTGACTGGAGGATAGGGGGGGTTTGGAAGTCAGTCAGACATCATCCAGTATGGTCCAGTCAGGGACATTGTCAGCCCAGGAAGTTGTCCTGTTGCTGGTTGGAGCCCGGAGCCTCAGCCATTCCTCTCTCTGTTTTCCACAGGTGGGAACTGAATCAGAGAAGCAGAGAGTCAGCTGGTTCTGCATTTGACATCGTTCCCTGGTCCCTCATTGGAGAGGAGGAATTTTCCCTTAGCTGGTGAGTGCTACACAGAAATATGCTTCTTTTTTAATAGCAAAATACATGTTTTGATCAGTTTTGCAAAGTAACGGGTTCTGGGAGCAAGAGTTGAGAACTGGATAATTCTAAAATGTTCATCATCATCATCATCATCATCATCATCATCATTATCTGAATTGGCTTCATGGCAACAGACCAGATATAAAAATGTCAATAAAATCTGTGGCACGGCAAAGGTGAGCTTCACCTCTGACAAGGTGGCGTACAGAGAAACTGGAGGAAAACTCAGTGGCAATGATTTCATCTTGCCAGTAATTGTGTGGCTCCCTTCCTTTTCCTTTGGCAGAAAGTAGAGTGTCATTGAACTTGAAAGACTGGCATGAAGATGACAGGGAACAAGCTGATATTTCTTGTTTGCTCCTGTGTGATGTGCTGTTTTCTTTGGCAATCTCATTTTATTTTCCCATCAACCTTTGGAGGTGGAGAGGGCTAGCTTAGCCTTGGCAGAGTGTGGAAGCCCCTGTTTTAACGACCTGCTAGTGTTCCGGTGCTAATTGAGTGTGGGTTTTGTTGCCGTCCGTCTGAAAGGAAAGTGGTAATAGATACCTTTTTTTGCTTCGGCTCTCTAGTTCATAGGTGCATTGTTACGAAGGATACGGAGTGACCTGGGGCGCCTGGGTAACAAGCTGAGGGAAATAGTTGGGGGATTCTTGCTTCTACTGACTGTAGTTCTGTGGTTTCCATGATGAGGATCAATCCCTATGTACTGCAAGGATTGACATGAAACTACATAAATAATATATCCCACTATGGGTGTTGTGGAGTTTTCCAAAACACAGCGAATGTTATTGTGATTGGAAAAAAGCCAACTTGATTTGAAAATGTAACTGACTTCGTCCTTGTCTTGTCATTCTGTTTTCCTCATCGTTGTTTGACTCCTTTTCGCGGAGGGTTGGTGTCCATAGCATCGGTAACCTGCACTCTTTGTCTTTGACTTTACGGTATTTATTAAAATCTCAAACATGGGCTTGAATATATATCCCCCCCATTATGGTTGCAGCATCAATGGAAAGGTATATTACCTGCTTCACCTTTTGAGTTTCTCAGTGTTTAAACAGAAATTGTGGTAGCCTTGAACTTGGGTTTTTTTTTTATTTAAATTTATTTATTTATTAAGGATTTCTGCCTCGTCCCCGCAACCACTTCCCATTTCCCTCCCCCTCCCCCGATCAAGTCCCCCTCCCTCATCTGCTCGAAGAGCAATCAGGGTTCCCTGACCTGTGGGAAGCCCAAGGACTGCCCACCTCTATCCAGGTCTCGTAAGGTGAGCATCCAAACTGCCTAGGCTCCCACAAAGCCAGTACGTGCAGTAGGATCAAAACCCCACTGCAATTGTTCTTGAATTCTCAGTATTCCTCATTGTCCGCTATGTTCAGCTAGTCTGGATTTATCCCATGCTTTTTCAGACCTAGGCCAGCTGGCCTTGGTGAGATCCCAATAGACCATCCCCATTGTCTTGAACTTGGGTTTAATGAATTCGAGTGGTGTAATTGTAGAACAGGAAAGACAGCCTTAAACGAGGCAGCTGGAAGAGACTCGGAAGTTTCTGTTATCCTTACATTGTTATGATTCAATGGTGACTCTTGCTTCTGAAGCCCTCATGTTACCTGGGCATACGTTATTTAGAACCAGGTGGAAGGGTGACCTTGCAATCCCAGAAGACCTGGTTCAGAGGGAGATGACTTTCGGCTCCACTTGAGTAGGATGTCATCTCTGATGCTCTGCCGTGTTCTTTGCTCTGTCCCCTTTTGGTTGCTGACTCTCTCATCCTCAAGGTATTTGCCCTATGGTTAGTAGATCACTGCCCAGTGACCAGGCTGAAGACATCTGCTTACCTGTTTGGAGGAGAAGAGAGCCTTGTGGCCACATTCACAGAGGTTTTGGTTACTGCCCAGTGATGAACTGTCACTGAGGCCGAAAGGTTGGGACTATGATACTTGGAATATACACACCGGAGACTGTCCTACTCAAACCTCCTGGCAGTCACACAGCACAGATGAAGTGGCTCCTCAGAGCAATTCTGCCTTTGGGGAGAAAGGACTAGAAGCCTTGCTCCCAGCCCTCATTGGTGTCATGCTTCAGTGCTCACAGCATCTTTTGGAATGGATGCTAGTCAGCTGGACTATGCAGAGGTTCTGAGAAGACCAAGATGATGTGCCATGAAGAGCTAGTTATAAGAGCGCGATTGGAAAAGGCAGGATACTGGGTCATACACAATCTTGACCTTCAAGAATATGATCCCCACGGGGCTGGAGTGATGGCTCAGCGGTTAAGAACACTGACTGCTATTGCAGAGAACCTGGGTCCAATTCCTAGCACCCACATGGCAGCTCACAACTATCTGAAACTCTAAGATCTGACACCCTCACACAGACATTCATGCAGGCACCGAAGTACATACAAATAAATAGTTTTTTAGAAAATAGAATACCCAGCCAAAAGGACACTCTCTGCCTCTGTCCCATAGTCTAGTGGGGCATAATAATTACATGACACATTTTCATGGATAGAAGAATAAATCTAAATCTGAAGGTTGGGAGTGTCCCTTTCCCCAAGGCTGCTCTACCAGGTCCTGACTAATTCTGTTGGGGTTGTTTTACAGCTGGATTGCATGATTTTATGAGGGCTAACCAGATGACTGTACACAAGGAGGCTTTTGAGAGCAGCGAAGCTTCAGACATGTACTGTGAGTGTGTGCAGTGGCAGAGTATGGCAGGATGGGCGAACAGAAAACCTGCCCAATGTTAGCCTTTTCTTGCCTTCATCTTCTGGATCCCAGAATTGTAGGTCACATTGATTGTCTTGCTGGCCCCTTAGGTTTGCTTTGTGCAAGCCTGTTGGTAGTACTTTATCAAGTGTGGTCCCTTCATAGGTTGTTGTAATTGTATTCTCCTTCAAGATTCAAAATGAGTTAAAAGGGAAGTAAGATACCGTAAAGGTTGCGTCTAGCACTGTGTCGCGGACATGGTATTTATGCTTGCCATTCATCCTTCTCCATGCCCAGACCCTGTCCTCACCAAGACTGGGTGAGCAGTAATGCGTTCTGAGTCTTGGAAAGAAATTCAATTTGGAGCTTTTTTTTTTCTTTTTTTAAACATTAAAGTTGACACCTAAAGCTGGAAGAGGTGTCGCAGGTAGATGCAGAGACCTAGGAAACTGAGTACCTAGAGAAGTCGTAGTCTAGCCTGTGGGACTCTTGCTTTGTTCTCGTAATCACGCCTTCTGCCCCAAGCATGCCTGGCCCAGTGGGAGTCAGGAAGGAAATGATTTCCCTCTTTGGATATCCATGTACAATTGTTGTAGCCAAGGCCTCTCAGTTTTAATATTTCCGTTTTGGTCTTAAGAGCTACCAGGTATTAGAGTCTGCCGGAAGCAAAGCGTTGGTCATTTCTGGTAGAGGTATGTGTCTTGGCTCCCTGCAGTTCCTTGGCCAGGTGGCTTCTGAGTATTTGTCACCATCTGCTAGGCCAGGTTTCATTTTTATTTACTTGTTTCACAAATTACAAGGGGACTTACTGAGTGGGAACCGAGGCCCATGCAGTCTCCCAGAGTCAGTGGGTCTTCCTGTAATGCAGGGGGGATTGCTTATAGGAGATAGGATTGCTGGGAAAGAAAAGGCAGAGGAATCCCTTTTCAGCCTTCTTGACTTTTGGTGCAGTGGGGTTGCCTCTTTCTTTCCTTGCTATGGACCTAGGAGATCAGAGTTGTTTTTAAGAGTTCTTTTTCATTGGTTCCTTTGTGGTAGAAGGTGTTAAAAGTCTGTGCTGCTAAGTGTATTATGCCATTGCTGCACAACTACTTTTTGTTATAGTGTATGCCATTATTTTCTCCCCCGAGTCTAGTCTTTGTCAGAAAGTTAGCAACTACAGAGTCTTTTTGTTTTCCTTCCTGGAGTCCTGGAGATTGAACTCATGGCTTTGTGTATGAGGAGCAAGCTGGCACTGAGCTCCATGCACAGCCCAGTCTTAGACTCCTTAGGATACAATGGCGAGTTAGGCTCACTCCCTGATCTCTAGAAGCTTGTAACTTTCAGGGAAGATACAAAGAGAAGAGTAACACACACACACACACACAAAGCCAAAAGATGCATAGAGAAGACAGTCACACACAATGGGAAGAGACACAGAGAGAAGATGATCACACAATGGGAAGAGACGTAGAGAGAAGACAGTCACACACAGTGGGAAGAGATGAAGAGAGAAGAGACTCACACAATGCAATGGCAAGAGGTGCATAAAGAAGATGGTCACACACAATGGGAAGAAAAACAGAGAGAAGATGATCACACACAGTGGGAAGAGATGTAGAGAAAAGAGAGTCACACACAGTGGGAAGAGATGTAGAGAGAAGACATCCCACATAATGGGAAAATGATTGGTTACAGTATTTTTATTTGTCACAAAATGTGTTTCAAGCCTTACTATATTGGGACATGGAGGTAAGTAAATCACAGACCCAGATCTCCCTGAGTCTAGACAAAGGGCATGGAGAGTAGAGAGGATCTTATGGACAGTTTCCAGGGAGAAGATTTATCTCTAAGGGACCCCCGGGGGATGGTATGGTGAGCCTGTGACCATAGTTGTGGCACAGAAGCTGGTCAGTATATGAGGATGGAAGTGGATAATATAAAAATTTGACTGGACATGTCAACATTTCATGTGTGATTCTGTTTCCAGCTCATCTGTAATCACAAGCTTCAGCAGAAAGTACTGCCCTGACTTTTTATACCCTGCTGTTATATTCACAGTAATGTATGCGTGGCCAAGGTGTGCCTGGCTCTGTGTCCCAAAGGTAGACAGCAGTTCTGTGTTCTTGAGCAAAAGTGTTTCTTTCCAGAGTTCCTGATATGGAACCCTGGTGATCTGATTCCTAGGCTTAATGCAAAATAGTAGATTTAGTGGGGTGAATCAGCAAATATTCTAGAATTTGAACATTGCAAACTCTCATGCAGTATTATC